CAAGCACGCATGGAACATTCTCAAGGATAGACCATATGTTGGGAAACAAGACAAGCCTCAATAAATTTAAGAAGATTGAAGTCATAACAAGCATCTTTTCAGACCATAATGCTATGAAACTGGAAATCAACCACAAGAAAAAAACTGGGAAAGTCACAAAGATGTGGAGATTAAATAACATGCTACTGAACAACCAATGGATCATTGATGAAATTAAAGGAGAAATCACAAAATATCTGAAAACAAACAAAAATGAAAATACACCACACCAACTCATATGCAATGCAGCAAAAGCGGTCCTGAGAGGGAAATGCATAGCAATACATGCCCAGCTCAACAAACAAGAAAAAGCCCAAATATGCAACCTTAAATTACACCTAACAGAACTAGAAACAGAAGAACAAAGCCCAAAATCAGCAGAAGGAGAGAAATAATAAAAATTAGAGCAGAAATAAATGAAATTGAGCCCCAAAAAAACAGTAAAAAGGATTAGTGAAACAAAGAGTTGGCTCTTTGAGAAGATAAACAAAATTGACAGACCCTTAGCCAGACTTACTAAGAAAAAAAGAGAAAAGGCTCAAATAAATAAAATTAGAAACTAAAGAGGAGAAATTACAACAGATACCACAGAAATACAAAGGATTATAAGAGAATACTATGAGAAACTATATGCCAACAAATTGGACAATCTAGAAGAAATGGATAAATTCTTAGACTCATACAACCTCCTCAAACTGAACCAAGAAGAAATAGAGAATCTGAATAGACCAATCACAAGTAAAGAGATTAAAACAGTAATCAAAAACCTCCCAAAAAATAAAAGTCCAGGACCAGATTGCTTCTCCGGTGAATTTTACCAAACATTCAAAGAAGATTTAAAACCCATCCTTCTCAAACTATTCCAAAAAACAGAGGAAGATGGAACACTTCCTAACTCATTCTACAAGGCCAACATCACGCTGATACCAAAGCCAGACAAAGACAATACAAAAAAGGAAAATTACAGGCCAACATCGCTGATGAACATAGATGCAAAAATCCTCAACAAAATATTGGCAAACCAAATACAGCAATACATTAAAAAGATCATACACCATGATCAAGTGGGATTTATACCAGGGACACAGGGATGGTTCAACATCCGCAAATCAATCAACGTGATACACCACATCAACAAAACGAGGAATAAAAACCACATGGTCATCTCAATAAATGCAGAGAAGGCATTTGAGAAGATCCAACATCCATTTATGACAAAAACTCTCAACAAAATGGGTATAGAAGGAAAGTACCTCAACATAATAAAGGCTATTTATGACAAATCCATAGCCAACATCATACTCAATGGGGAAAGTCCGAAAGCCATTCCTGTAAGAACAGGAACGAGACAAGGCTGCCCACTCTCACCACTCTTATTCAACATAGTACTAGAGGTTTCAGCCAGAGCAATTAGGCAATAAAAAAGAATAAAAGGAATCCAAATAGGCAACCAAGAAGTGAAACTCTCACTATTTGCAGATGACATGATTTTGCATATAGAAAACCCTAAAGAATCCATTGGAAAACTATTAGAAATAATCAACAACTACAGCAAAGTTGCAGGGTACAAAATCAATCTACAAAAATCAGTTGCATTTCTGTATGCTAATAAGGAACTAACAGAAAGAGAGCTCAAAATGATAATACCATTTACAATTGCATCAAAAAGAATAAAATATCTAGGAATAAATCTTACCAAGGAGGTAAAAGACCTATACAATGAAAACTAGAAGACGTTATTGAAAGAAATCGACAATGACATAGAGAAATGGAAAGATATCCCATGCACATGGATTAGAAGAATAAACATAGTTAAAATGTCTATATTACCTAAAGCAATCTACAGAGTCAATGCAATCCCAATCAGAATCCCAATGACATTCTTCATGGAAATAGAAAAAAGAATCCTAAAATTCACATGGGGAAACAAAAGACCCCGAATACCTAAAGCAATCCTAAGAAAAAAGAACAAAGCTGGAGGCATCACAATCCCTGACTTCAAAACATACTACAAAGCACTTGTAATCAAAACAGCATGGTACTGGTACAAAATCAGACACACAGATCAATGCAACAGAATTGAAAGCCCATAAATAAAACAAAAATAAAAAATTTTCGACAAAGGAGCTAAGAACATACAATGAAGAAAGGAAAGTCTCTTCAATAAATGGTGCTGGGAAAACTGGACAGGCACATGCAGAAGAATGAAAGTAGACCATCTGCTATCACCATTCACAAAAATTAACTCACTGGACCAAAGACCTGAAGGCAAGACCTAAAACTATAAAACTCATAGAAGAAAATACAGGTGACACACTATTTGACATTGGTCATACAGGAATCTTTTCAAATGCCATGCCTACTCAAACTAGAGAAACTAAAGAAAAAATAAGCAAGTGGGACTTCATCAGATTAAAGAGCTTCTACAAGACACATGAAACGAGGATCAAAATGAATAGACAACCCACCAGCTGTGAGAAAATATTTGCAAAACATATATCTGACAAGGGGTTAATCTCCATAATACATAAAGAACTCACACAACTGAACAACAACAAAAAAAACAACCCAATCAAAAAATGGGCAGAGGAAATGAACAGACACTTCTCCAAAGAAGATATACAGATGGCCAATAGGCACATGAAAAGATGTTCAACATCACTAATCATCAGGGAAATGCAAATCAAAACAACACTAAGATATCACCTCATGCCCGTGAGAATGGCTATAATCACCAAGACAAAAAACAACAAATGTTGGAGAGGATGTGGAGAAACAGGAACCCTCATACACAGCTGGTGGGAATGCAAACTGGTGCAGCCTCTATGGGAAATGGTATGGAAAGTCCTCAAAGAATTAAAAATAGAAATACCCTATGATCCAGCTATCCTACTACTGGGAATCTATCCAACAAACCTGAAACCAACAATGCAAAGAGGCTTATGCACCCCTATGTTCATTGCAGCATTATTCACTATAGCCAAGAAGTGGAAGCAACCCAAGTGTCCCCCGACTGATGATTGGATCAAGAAGATGTGGTGTATATATATACAATGGAATACTACTCAGCCATAAAAAAAGACAAAATTGTCACATTTGCAACAACATGGATGGACCTGGAGGGTATTATGTTAAGTGAAATAAGCCAGAAAGAGAAAGACACACACTGTATGATCTCACTCATATGTGGAATATAAACCAACACATGGACAGAGAAAACTGTATTGTGGTTACCAGGGGCAAAGGGGATAGGTGGTGGGCACAATGGGTGAAAGGAGACATGTATATGGTGACTGACAAACAAAAATGTACAACAAAAATTTCACAATGTTATAAACTATTAAGACATCAATTAAAAAAAAAAACAAAAGGCAAGCCACAGAATATCAGAAAATATTTGCAAAAGATGTATCTAAACAGGGGCCAGCCCAGTGGCGCAAGCAGTTAAGTGCGTGCACTCTGCTGAGGAGGCCTGGGGTTCGCCGGTTCAGATCCCGGGCGTGCACCGACGCGCTGCCTGGCAGGCCATGCTGTGGCGGCATCCCATATAAAGTGGAGGAAGGTGGGCACAGACGTTAGCTGCCAGTCTTCCTCAGCGAAGATTGGCAGATGTTAGCACAGGGCTGATTTCCTCACAAAAAAAAAAAAAAAAAAAAGATGTATCTAATGAAAGACACATATTTTGCAACTCAGTAAGAACACAAACAATCCTATTTTTTCAAATGGGCAAAGGATTTGAAGATCCTTCACAAAAGAAGATATACAGATGGCAAATAAGCACATGAGAAGGCATTCAACATCATTAGTCATTAGAGAAACGGAAATTAAAACCACAATGAGATACCACTACATACCTAATAGAACAGCTAAAATTAACAAAACTGACAATACTAAGTGCTGACCAGGGTGTGGAGCAACTGGAACTTTTATCCATTACCGGCAGGATTGCCACTTTGGAAAACATTTTGGCATCTGTTCATCAACTGGTAAGTGGATAAACAATTTGTGAGATAGCCATACGATTTAATACTACTCAGCAGAGAAAGGAAATGAACTACGGACATGCAATAACATAGATGAATCTCAAAAGCATTATGCTAAGTGAAAGAAGCCAGACACAAAAGACAACATACTGTATGATTATATGAAAGTCTACTAAAGGCAAATCTATAACTATAGAAAGTAGTTCAGTGGTTGCCAGGGGCCAGGGTGTGGGGTCGGCATTGACTGCAAAGAGGCACAAGGAAACTTTTATGGATAACAGAAATGTTTTATAGCATACACATTCGTCAAAACTAAGTGAAATGTGTACCATAAAATTGCTAATTTTTATTGAATGTAAATTCAATAAATAAAGCTGATTAAAAGAAATCCGTAGAGACACAAATAGGCCATTAACAAAAGAAGAAATTTAAGTGACAGACAGATGAAAAAATTTAACTTTGCTAGTAATCAAACAATACATTATTATCATTTTTTCAATTATTTAGTTAATTAAAAAATGATTACAGTATCCAGTGAAGAGTACCTGAAATGGGCATTCTTATACACTGCTGGTGGGAGATAACAAACGTACAACTTTTCTGAAAACATGGAAATGTTTAACAATATTCAGATTCTTTGATCAAGCAATTTGAATTCTAATAATTTATCCCAAGGAAATAACTAGGGTGATACAAAAAAAAATTATAAACAAACATGTTCGTATAGCACTATTTATAGGAGCTAATTGAATTATGTTTCTTTCGTAGGATAGAATAGTATTCAGCCATTTAAAATACACAGACGTGTGTGTGTGTGTACTTTACAATATTCCCCTGGGTGTAAGAAGCAAGCAATACTACCTAAGTAATTACCACTAAAAGCCCTTTACTGACAAAAAAGAAGCCTAGGATATCGGAGAAATGAAGCAGACATATACACAATGTGACAATGTCACAAAAACTGGTGTTACTCCATACCTTTATATCAGCATCAATTTTTTCCCATTCTTCTGCTGTAAAACTGGATGCTGTCGCTGCAGGTTTCTCTTTCCTTAAAGCTCTACTTTCAGGAGCCAAGCTTCCAAGGCGCTTTTCACAAAATTCTGTAAGTTCAGGATAATATCCTTCCTCACCAGACCTTTAAAAAAATTCAGAATTTTAGAGCTATCACTTTATTTAGAGATCATCTAGACCAGTGATTGGCAAGCTGAGTTCCATGGAGCTCAGGGGTTCTGCAGAGGTTCAAGGACTGCCTGTGCACAAGGTGAAGGCTGGGCTGCTGGCTTCCCACTCACCTTCCTCAACCAGCGCAACCTCCATTTTTATCTGTTAATCTCCGAAGTGATGCAGTGATGGAAAAAAAGGAGCTCCAAAGACATCAATTTCCATCATACACTTTAAAAGTTGAATAAACAGCATTTTCTCTCCTCTTTAACACACACGTTCATTTTGTACATAAGGTAATTTTAAACTTAAAATGGAAATTCAATACTAGAGACAGGCAGAAAGTGAGACTTTGGACTTCCTTTCTAAGGAGGAGTTCACGATTTTTTTTTTTCCAAAGGAATAGAAAGAAAATGGCAGAGGCATAATATAGAACAATATGCCTCTAAATTCAACCACTCAAGGAACAGAATTCCTTCCTTAGAGACTTAAATGGAGACATCTGTTCTTTTTAGTTTTTTTAAGGAAAATCAATCTTCTCCCCTTCTCTTGTAAGTGTGTCTACTCTTAAATTTTTAGAAAAATTGAAATAAATCCCATTTTCAAATTAAATTTTAAAAAATAATCGTAAGTCAATGCAATATAATTTAATCAGGCTAATGATAGAATTTCTTAGAACCAACATTATCACTGTAGCTTTCAAACCCTTCCATCCCATGAACTTCTCATTTTCTTTATCAGTCCTTGACCAAATATAAACGAAAATGTCCTATACTGCTGAGAAACACAAAAGGGAAAACAATATGATGTGATGTTTCATCTCTCCATCGTAGAAATGATGAAGTTAGTACATCAACTCTGGCTGGGGACAAGCAGGGATGCTTGGGGAGGGCAGGAGGCTGAAGGTGAAGAGAGAGAAAAAGGAAAGGACACAGTGATGAGGGCCAGAGGGAAGAAAATACAGAACTACCATCGAGCAGAAGGAATACTACCAATGTCCTGGAAAGGAGCAGTTCACGCTCCACAGGTGCTTCTGCAATAGTAGGCTACTCTCCAAATGAAAATTCCTCAAGAAATCCAAAATAGTGGCATAGGCTGGTATGCCCCAGGGCAGTGTTTCTTGTAGTGCGTTCCCTTTACCACCTGCATGTCAATCAGCCAGCGTGCTTGCTAAAATCACAGGTTTCTGGGCCCTCCTCCAGATTTCCTGAAGTGGAATCTCTGGGAATGGGACCCTCAAATTTGCATTTTTAACAACCATAGTTGATGTATGTTCGAGTTTGCCAATCACGGCCATGGGGCTCTTACCCAGAGAAGGCCCTGATTTCCCGCCTTCTGGTCCTACCTCCTAGCCTCCCCACCATCCTCCGCGTGACCAGCTCCCAGTGAGTCACCCACATTTGTTGGCAGACAGTATAAAGAGGGAGAGTGTCAAAAACTTTATCAGCATAGGCTGCTGAGCTAACCTTACCTCCTAATGGCTGCTTTACCTTTTCCTAATAAAGCTACTTTATCTTTTCCTAGAAAATGCGGAAGAAGCAAGAAAAATGTCCTCTTGGATAGTAATTAGCCTAAGTCTCATGCTGGAAGCAGACCTAGCCAGAACCCTCCAAACTAGCCACAGGATCAAAACCACTATTCTGGAACTTAACATGGACAAAAACAACAATCTCAATATTTGAAAATTTGCTCCAAATTTGCTATTTGTAATGTAGTTTTGACCTTTAGAAATCAATAACAATATAATTAACATTGACACACCAAAACATGAAATGATTTTTAAATGCTTACCTAAGCACACAAAGAATTTTTTCCAAGTGTTTAACATCTGAACATTTTTCAATATATTTGAAATCCAAATGTTCAACAGGAATTTTAAATGTTTTTGTTGTTCCAAAGCCCCACAATGATGGATAATCTTTGGCAGTCATGGCTGAAATATAGTATAGGAAAAGTTATTAATCTTATATATACATAAATAAGATGGTGTGTTTCTTCCAAAGAGGAAGGCTACTCATTTTAAATTCTCTCTCCTTGATAATAACAGTTAACATTCATAGAGCTAAATTACTATGTACCACACATGGATTATTTTGCTTAATCTTCACTTAAGCAAAGATGGACTACAATGACAAAGCAGTTTTTGATGCTGTAGAAGAGGGAAAAAAACTTTTCCTCTACCCATTTAGATTCAGTACCTAAGGCCTGTGAATTAAACTGGCAAAAGACAGATTAACAGGAGAAAAAGTTTATTTTATATGCACATGGGAGCTTCACAGAAAAGTGAAAACCCAAAGAAACTGTTAGGCTGGGAATCTACATATCATTTTAACAAAGGGTGATAAACTGTAAAGTGATTAGAAAAGAAAAACCGGTTTTGGCTTCTAGGAGAAGGTAAATATATGAGAGAAACTAATGGAAGATAAGGGTTCTTTTAGTAAGATTTGTTTATGCAGACTCATCTCAGTGCTGACTGTCCATCTACTATGATAAGAGTTGATCTCTTCCTCCTAATACGGGAGAGGGGAGGAGGGGACACCTTCATAAAAGGAAATTTATGCCCTGCTTTTAGGCAGAAACAGGGAGGGCAGAGAGTTCTTCCTGTGTCTGCTGTTTCTTAATTGCCTTCAGCTCAAAATAATTCTTATGCCAAATGGCCTATTTGGGGGTGGCATATTCTGATCGCCTTTAGTGCTCAAACTGCTTTTTAAGATATTTTTTAATGTTAATTTGAATGACCTTCTTCTACTTCAGTTGTATGTTAACATCCCAATCATCCTTCGTGATTCAGCACATAAATCACATCCTTTCTGTAACTCTCCTTAGCATCACCCTCTTCCCATGCCCTGCCTCCTACTCCCATCCACGAACAGCTCCCAGATCTGTGTTCCAATGGCACTCTGTACATAGCTCTCTCATAGCATATAGCACATATTCTAACTATGTTTCTTTGTCTTCCCTTCTAGATCGTGAGAGATATTACTTTATTCATCTTCATATATTCAGGAATAACATAATAAGTAGTACCTTATACCCCTTAAGTAACACTTGCTGAATTGAATCCGGAATAAGGCGGCCTTGGACAGTTTCACTCCAATGATACGCTGCTAATGATGATGATAATAATAACAGCAACAAATAAATAATTCTTCATGTGTGCTGGGCACCACTGTCAGTACTCTACATATATTACCTCATTTAATCCTTCAACTACTGTATCAGGTAGGTTTTATTTTAAGTAAACAGCAGTAATAACAGTTAACATTTATGGGGCTAAATTACTATGTGCCATGAATTATCTCATTCTTCAAAACCACTCTCATGAAGGATATTAATAATTACCCTCACTTTACAGATGAGGAAGTTGACGTTTCAAGTATGTAAACCACTCAAGGTCATATAGCTATTAAGTAGCAAACTGAGGATTTGAATCTCAGTAAGCAATTACAGAGACTACATACTTATCATATCCGTGCTTTTCAAACTGCAGGTGGCAACCCATGAAACCAATTTAGTGAGTTGCAATCAGCATTTTTTTTTTTTTTATGAGGAAGATCAGCCCTGAGCTAACATCCATGCTAATCCTCCTCTTTTTGCTGAGGAATACCGCCTCTGAGCTAACATCTATTGCCAATCCTCCTCCTTTTTTTCCCCTAAAGTCCCAGTAGGTAGTTGTATGTCTTAGTTGCACATCCTTCTAGTTGCTGTATGTGGGATGCAGCCTCAGCATGGCAGGAGAAGTGGTGCGTGAGTGCGCGCCAGGATCCGAACCCGGGCTGCCAGTAGCAGAGCGTGAGCACTTAACCGCTAAGCCACGGGGCCGGTCACGGGGCCGGGCCAACATTGTTTTATAATGAGATAAAATAACAAAACAATCAGACTACCTGACACATACCATTAAAGCAAATATTTTTTGTAAAAATTTTTATTCACATCTACGTAAATAAAAATTATATATGTGTGTACATAAATGCACATGTTGCAAAGAAAAATATATTTCTTATTGTGAGTTATTGTCAGTTCTTAAAAAATCACTGCCCTAAAACATATTGGGTGATAAATTTTAAAAGAAGTAGCAGCAATGGGTCTAATTCATTAGAGGTATTTCCTTCAGCATGCCTGCTCTCTTGGATTTTGGTCTTATACGAGACCTCTGCAGAGCTTCTCCTCCATATTCCTGCAGGCTTTGACTTGAGGATAGGATCCAGATGACAGCTTTTGGATGAGATCCAGCTGAGAAATGAGAGTGAGGCTTTCACACCACACAGGCAGGGCCTAGTAGGATGAATGTCTCCCATCACAAGGATAGCTTTAAGGGTAGAAGTTACAGGAAAGCAAGATGAAGATCTTTTAAATTATTGCTGCTGCCCAGAATAGAATGGGTTGCCTTAGGAGAATCTTTCCAAAGAGCTGGAGGATCTTTGATGGGAGAGATTTAAGCATCTAATGGGATTAAAATAGATTACCTCGAATTGAACGTTTCTTGCAACCCCTGAGATTTTATGATTTGAATAAAATATAGTGAAAAACATTTGAAATGGCAGAAGCATCCCCTACCTAATCAAACGAGTTTAACTCTGAACACTGTTTTAACATTTCTCTGAGAATTCTTTTTGAAAACTACGATTTTTTTTTTTGGTAGGATACACATTCTCAAGAACACTAAACGTTAATTCTCAAGTTCCAAAAAACAAATCATACAATATTTTATTTGCTCTCTTTAGAACTCTTCCACATCTGTTTGTAATTTCTTTGTCTCTGACCAAAGGAAAACATTTGGTCCTAGTTGGATTTTTATTTCTTCTCCATCATCCTGATCCACACCCATTTCCCATATTTCCTAATCAGTTTATCAGTAATACCTTCAAGGTAAACTGCTATGGATTAGTAACACGGAAACCAGTTTGCTTCCATCTAGGCACGTTCTTTCCAGCATCCACAAGGCCAAGCGCCCCCTGCAGCCGGAGACCGAAAGGACATGTCATCCTCCAGCCGTAGCAACGGTTTCTATGTACAGCTCTGCCCGAGAGGGCGGCGGGGTCAGGTACTGGCCGGGATCCGGGAGCTCTAGAGCAAACCCCCAACCGTCAGGGGGCACTTCAGGACCCTATGAAATTGCTCCCCACTCCCGGGCTTTGGTCACCAGGACTGGTCGCCGCTGGCGGACCGCAGGAACCCCCTGGGGTCGCGACTCCGTCCCAACATCAGCCACACTCAGCCGCGAGAAGCAAAGGGCCCCAGTTCGCCTCCCACGACCGAGAAGGTTGTCTATCCCACCATACGCTCCCTCCCACTCGAGTCCGACGGTGCACCTGCTCTGCCTTTCCCTCCGGCTCCCTGGAGGAGAGACTGCGACAGGGAGATGTAACTTACTTCTGGCCACCTGGTTCTCAGAGCCCGCGCTGTGCGGAGGACACCCCCCGCCGCACACCTCACCAGCTGCCCCGCAGAGAGGGGCGGAGTCGCCCTCCTGCGCGCCCAGGGGCGTGCGATGGACGCCGGGGGCGGGGCTTAGGCCCTCCGCGGTCTCATTGGCTAGTCCTGGACCTGCCTTCCCGCTGATTGGCCTTACAGGCCCCAGCTTCACCCGGGCAGAGGACCATTAAGGGAGAAGTAAGAGCAGAAGTTGGCGAGTTCCCCTTCCTCTCCTTTGCTTTTCAATTCGTTTTAGATTGAGTTAAAACGCTTTAATTGTTCTGGATTGTTGTACTACCTGCAAGGTAAATTGATAACTACTTCTACTTAACTATAGAAACATATTAAACGTTCAGGATAGCTACATTGCGACCTAGATTTACTTAACCCCTCCCCCTTATACAAAAGAGTAAACGACAGGCAAGATTCCCTCTTCTCTTTCACGCAGTCAACCTTTTCTGAGTGCTGGTTATGAGTCAGACACTGTACTGGGCGCTGGGATACAAAGGAGAATAAGACATAATACAATTCAGATGAGTAAAACAGTAGAGATCATTTGTGAGGAACTGTATTTCAGTTTTATTATTTCAGACTAGTTAAAATAAACATAAAGCATCTCATACAGTGCTTGGCACATAATAGTTCAATAAATGTATTTCTCTTCCCCCTTTGCACTTAAATTACAGAGCTCCAGTCTTTGAGCAGGCACTAATAGTGATAAAAATTCTAGTGCTCAAAATATGACTAATTATATTTACATTATTTCTATTGCCAGTGCTAGAGATCGTTAAATTTGCATGTTTATAGACACAGATTCAAACTTTAGAGTAATCCTTAGGTTGCTTTACTATATTGTCATGGGGAATGGCATCACACGTGGCTCTGTAATGTCACTTCACACCTCATTCCAGCCAGCAAACTTCCCTCAAAATTATGTGCTAAGTGTAAAACACTCAGCCTAGTGTAACTTCACATCATTTTACTTCCAGCATAGGAAGAAATCCTTTAAATGCTTGGGGAAATGGTTGTAAATCCACATGCTCTGTATTTTTCTTTTCACTCACACTTAATGTTTTCTTCTGGTTATAATTATGTACATAAACATTTACGCTTAATAAACAAGCAGGATAAAAAGCAACTTGAAGGAAAGAGACTATGAAGACAAATGAAAATTATCACTATCGTCTTGCTTGGAGATAAGACATTGCATCCAAGAAACAAGGGGAGATTTTATGTGTGTGTGAATCATATATACACAAAGAAATCAGATCAATCAAAGAAAACCTAAGCTCTTAGAAATACAAAAATATTATGTATTGGGGAAAAGAAAACCCCAATAGAGGGACTAGAAAGTAAAGTTAAAAAAGTCTTCTGCAGAGCAGAGCAAAGAAAAAAAACAAAACGGAACAAAAGAAGAGAAAGTTAGGTCAATGAAATCTAATACTAAATTTTAAAAAAAGATGTAGAGAAAAGAGAAAATTGAGGATAGGAAGTTATTAAATAATTCAAGAAAATT